TGCCAACAAAACATTGGTGCACCAGTAATTTTGTCCCACCCTGTGCATTTGATCTCAGTGTAACGAAATGCGATAGATCAATGCATGAACTCCCCGACATGACCAGGGTTCCTTAATACCGCTCAAGAACTATTTTTCCTTGGCAATTCAGCACAGATGTACCGAATGGGTTTCTACTTCTATCATAATTTCCATCAAAAACTTGTAAGCATCCAGGAATGCTATTATAAAGGCAACAATTCCAGATCGAATTCGTCGGATAAAAACGGTCAATAATGGAAACTGTGGTTGCCGAGTTGAATGCAAATAAAAAAAAACAAAGAAAACGCCAATGGAAGCTCTTGAATAAGGATTCCCTCCGTTCTCCTCAAAACTGAGGAAGGGGCTGGCCTCTGGAGCTGTCCGAACTAGCTTGCTCCGCCTCCGCGTTTATAGATAGCTTCCCATCAAGAAATGCGGCGGCAATCGTGTGCACCAACAGAGACACATGCATCAGGGCAAATAAAGACATAGGATTATCAAATGAGTCAAAGAAGTAGAACCAATCAAAAAAGGCAGCACTGATTCAAAGCTGGGAAGTTTACACGCAATCGCGCAAGGACCCGCATCCAAGCACGCGATCTCCACGGCTGGCAAGTGGGCGTTACTGAATATTGTCGGCAACGCCCACTTCGAAAGTTCAACTCCCTTCTAGCGGCTTTCCAAGGTGAGTTTTTTGTTCAGTGACACTTCTTATGTTCTTGACTAGGGCTAGCGCATCATTTGCACACCATTAGTATCGAAGGTAAGGATCCTGCTGGGACTGTCGCTTCATAAAGAAGGAGCGCTGCTCAATACTTCTCAGGAGGAAATCATATAGCTAACACAAGCAACTTAACAAGGTTTTCTAGCCATTTCCACTTCCAGTTCTCATGAGTAATCCAAAAAAATTATATATACAGTGCGCGTCAATTGCATATGCCACCCCCTGATTTTTCAGTTTTCTGACTTATTTGGAAATTTCGTAAATCGGCATAGCAACCATCGTTTTCGGCGTGTCGGAAAACTAAGAATGGTGTTGTTTGATTGGTTAACGGTGGATTGAGGAACAGATTTTCAAAAGAACAGAGCAGTTCAAATCCACGCGTTAACCAAAATCAAACAACACCATTCTTAGTTTTCCGACACGCCGAAAACGATGGTTGCTATGCCGATTTACGAAATTTCCAAATAAGTCAGAAAACTGAAAAAATCAGGGGGTGGCATATACAATTGACGCGCACTGTAGCTTTGCTATCACGGAGTGATTGTCTTACTCGTGTATGATCGTCCCGTCTACTCCCACCACAACAAGATCGCCGATTCGTCGCGACTTCGGATAATGATACCGAATAGGCATCGTTTCCTTCGTGAAAACGCGGGCATTACCTTGGGTTTGACATTTCAAGGACTTCAGAACATCCTCCGTTGTTCTTGCTGAAAAACAATAAACGTAATGAGCGACGCTAAACATCTGAGACAGCACAAAAAACTATGGTATTACTTGTGTTCATCCGGAAGATGTGCGCGACAACACCTTCCGAAGAAAAAAGGCCGGTCAAGTCGATGAAGTCCTCAAGCACTACATGATTTTTGACCGGACTCATTCCTGAATTCATTAGAGTATCAGCAAGCAAAATGGCCAATCAATAGCTTTTCACCGGATCCTCAACCTTCTGATCTCCAATTTATAAAAATGTCATACAGCCACGCCAGTAAGCGGTCGCGGTGCCTGTTCGAAATTGAAACCCATTGTGAGGCGTACTTTCGCTTGTGTGCAGCAAAAGTTCACGATATCGAAGTCTCCTGCAGTTCAAAATTTGGAAGAATAGGGTAGGATTACCCCACAAGAGGTTCCATGCGGCGTTAACGCGTACGCTACTGACGCTTTCACTGTGGTCACATGACGTTGAAATCGTTTTCTTACAGTGCACAAGATCATCCGAATTCTCGTGTCTGCTCAAAGAATGAGTCATCCAAGCCGTGGTTGTACTTGAACGATTTCACGATGTTGTCTTTCAAACAGGTAAAGAAATTTTAGTCAAAGCAAAACAATTACCGTGGTCTGATACTACGACTAAATTGATACAATCGATAAGGCCTTCGTCTTCTAGTGCATCGAGAAAGCGCCCAAGTATACTATCGAGTTTTTTCAGCATTTTGTTGAGCTGCAATCGAAGTTTTTCATTGTATGCGTACGAGTTTGCTGAAGCTAGCTAACATCTACCCTAAAGAAAGTTGTGTTGCGAGCTTTTTGCAAACTTTCTACGATATTCTCAGCATATGCTCAGGCATGCCAACTGTCTAGCAATGACTTCGAAATGCGCATATCACGTGTTATTCTGCTATGGCCCCAATCACACATGGTAGAGGGTGGTGAAGCTCCGAAGTAATGCTAATTGTGAACACAGCATTCACCTGTTTTACAATGTGACTGAACTAACATAAACAGTCATGTTGTTGAGGTGAAGTGAATCTAATAATTTCTTGAGCTATTAGGCTCGCTACTCAAACCCATTCATTCTCCAAACGACATACTCAGCTGTACTAAGCTTCACTAATCCTTTTATAACTTTTGTTATATACTTTGGTCCTTCCTCTTTGGATTTGCTCTTACTTGAGCGAAAGATTCATGAGTGTAAAAGTTGGAAATGCTTTCTCAAAGCTGCATTCATGCAAAAGTGGTGTTCCGCAAGGTGGGGTACTATCCCCCTCTTATTTCTAGTGTACACATGCGACTTGCCTGCTCGACTTTCAACTCATCCCATGGTCAAAGTCCATATGTATGCTGATGACATCAAAATATATGGCGTTTATCGTGAAGATGCCACGCCTTACTCGTTCTATACACAATATGATGGAATGGGCTGCGGCGTGGGACATCCCAGTAAATCTCGCGAAAACATCGGTGCTTCACGTCGGCAAGGCTAAAAGAATTACCATACATCTTTAACCCTTTGACGACCGCCGTTATGAATGCGTCACTTCACTTCTTTCTAAATTTTTTCATCAATAATAAACTCTCCAACAATTTCACTATTAGTAATTAGCGCATTATTCCGCGAATTCGATAATGTATTTGTGTAGTTTTGAAACATAAAAATGCCAAAATAAACCCCTAAAAACGAGTCGCCACCGAGCGAAAGTGTGGCCCACCGGCGGGCCACACGGTCGTCAAAGGGTTAATGATGTTACTCTTCAAACTTCAGATGAAATTCGCGATCTCGGGTTCATTATAACTACAGATTTGGATTTCGAACATCATATAACTGTGATAGTTCGTAAGGCTTTTGGCGCCCTATTTACTATTTTTAGAAATATTAGGCACAATGATGAGACAGTTTTTTTGAAGCTATACAAAGCATATGTAATTCCAATTCTTGAGTACGGATCGCAGATTTGGAGCCCCAACACTAGGAAACTGCAGATGAGAATTGAGAAAGTTCAACAAGTTTTTACGAAAATTTTGCTGCACAGATGTGATCCTAGTTCTGCTCACTCAAGCTCTATGCCTAACTATGGTGAACGTCTGCGCCGGTTCCGCCTCAAGTCGCTTCTTTACCGACGTGTTTTTAATGATCTGATCTTTGGCTTCAAAGTTCTCAAAGGCGAATCGAAGTTGAAACCAAGCAATTATTGGGTGATGAGGCCTTGCCGAGGGCGCACTGTTTCGATATCTTTGCGGTGCCCTGAACTGTCACGGAGACAGATTACGAAAGTTTTCAATTCTCTATTCTTTCGTGTTGCGAGATGGATTGAGATGTTGCCACCGGAGATACAACAGGCGTCAAGTGTCAATGTCTTCAAAAGTAGATTGAGGAAAGTTAATTTATTGGATCTTCTAGGTATTCGAGACTTTTAAGTTCCGTACTGTCAGAAACTTTTATTGCAGCAGTCGTCCTCCTCCCTTTCAAGCTGCCTGACGACATTGAACAAAAGCCACGCAATATTCACGTCCTTTTTTTGTGTTTCTTTTTTATATACTTGATAGTGCTTTGTGCCATGTAAATTCATTTATTCGTCGTGAATCAGTTCCAAGCGCTTGATAAGGAGACCTCCAGATATAACCTCACTGAGAAGCCTATAATTACTGTAGTTACCCAAAAACAGTTGTTCCAAGATTGGACATGATCTGTGGCGGGTCAGAAGCTGAATTGTTAGGGGTAGGGAATACCTAACATCCGAAAATTCAGTTTCTGATTCCATGCGTATGCTTCGTGCCCGTCTAGGAGTGGCGTTATCCCTAGCGCTATCCGCCCATTGACTTCTAAATATTGACTGACGAATACTGAACACATTTCTGTTCGAGACACAACTTCAATTGGGCCTACAGGAATCTCCTAATTTGCATTTATCGACATCTCTGCTTTTCAAATTTAGTCCTGGAGAATCATCTCTTTATCTCGCCTGCTGCCTAGCTGGTTCACTTAACAATGTTTTGTGTTCCCTAGTTTTACTGATGTTAAGATGTGAATTAATGTAGCGCACCTAAGCGTGCAATAAATAAATAACTTCATTAGGTAATCCACAGCCTTGGTGTGTTGGCTCGGCGGGTGTGTCTTCAGGCTGGAGTGCGGAGTGCTGCTGTGTGTCCTTCCACAAAACGAAGTAGTGAGGCAGGTGGGTGCAATAGGCAAATCACTACGCAAACTGGGGAATTTGCAAGCCTTGCGATATCATTCTTTTAAATTGTGTGATATAGAGAGCGCGCACGACTACTGAAGGTGTAGTGAAGAAATTCGGCTTCGTGTCAAACTCATCGATCCTGTAGTTCTATTGCCTCAAGCTTTCCTCAGGGATCAGAATCAGAATGAGAGTGGATGAATGAATGCTCGGAATGCTGGTTGATTTTGAGTGCACCAGTAGTAAAATCGGTTTGCAGCTGAACCTAGCAAAAACGAGTTTATGAGAAGCCTCCAGCTACGTGTACCTAGGTCGGGAAATCAATATGATGAACGATCTAGCTCCAGAGCTGAGCAGGAGGAAACGAGCGGCTTGGGGAGCGTACAAGAACATCGAGGGAGTAGTGAAGAAGACGAAGAACATCCGGCTCCGTGCCCACCTCTTCGATTCCGCTGTCCTTCCTGCCCTAACCTACGCCTCAGAGACTTGGACTCTGCGCAGGCAGGACGAGCATGCGGTCAGCGTTATCCAACGCGCTGTCGAGAGGACGATGCTAGGAGTAACCCTATACACGCAAGTGCAGAGGGGAATCCGGAGTGCCGAACTACGCCAACGATCGAATCAGGGACGCTGCCGTTTTCGCCAAGGAATCGAAGATAAGGTGGGCCGGACACGTCATGCGATTTTGCGATGACCGTTGGACCAGAGCGGTTACCGACTGGGTCTCTGGGCACGTCAAACGATTACCTAACCGCAGGGTTGAGTTGTTTTACGGAATCCAATCCCCACAAGGCCATTGAGCGGAAGTGGACCACAGTTCTGTACTCCAGGCACATCCCTCCATATCATAGAAAAGACCGTTTTGAGAAAGCGCTCCACACTTTGAACGACCTCCCCTTGTTAGAGCTCCTAGTCATAAATACCATGAACACTCGTCCTCGTCTGCCGTTATTTCTCCTCAGTGCCCAGTGCCTCTTAGGTTTCTTTGACTCGCAGACTCTTACAACTCAAAACGAAAAGATTTCCAGCGGGTTCTCTTCACTATTCTCCATTGCCAAGTCAATCGGCTGTCATATTTGGTTCCAACATTTAGGTCAAATGACGGTTGTTGCGGTTGGTTCGACCATAGGACGATTTCACCCATACCCCTCAAGATCAGAGGCACAGAGATGATCAAATTCATATAACAATGATTACATGGTCGGAAATTATACCTTCTCGTCAAGGTTTCTGTGAGCGGTAGCGTCAGGCTCATCACAATAAGCCATTATCAAACCGGGCCGGTTTTCTTCATCCATATGGAGCCATTTCATTACCTGTTAGAGAGTAATCAAATTTAGCGCTTTTATGAGCTCCTTTCACTTCCATTGCAAAGCTGCTAAGAGAATATTCACCGCGTTAAACCGTTCTTCTTCGGTGTGGCTGGATTCATATATCACTCGGTAATCTGGCTGTAAATATCCTGAAAACAACGAACACGATACTACAATGTGTGAACACGACTGGAAGGGTTCTTCGGAATGCAACCTTATAAAGAGTACCATGCAAAAGATGTGCACGGAAGTGGTTTCTGAGACATCTTTAAATGAAAAAAAAACTTTCTTAAATTTTTGCTGTTGGAAATGAATTGTTTAATACGCCTACGTGTACTGTCATGGTATGATCCAACCCACGAAAACGTAGCAGCCTTGCGCTTGGTGGCCTTTTTGTAGATCGACCAGATCTAAAAGTAGCGTGAAGAGCGCTGATTGGGTTGGTGCAGATGAAAACAGTTCATCATCCTTTGATAGTTTACACTTCACACAGTAAATATCGAAAAGGTTGCCGCTCTGTGGGATCGGCTCCGTAGGAAATAGTCAGCTTCCACTTAAATTAATTCTTGAACCCTGATTTTATGCTTTTCTTATTGATGCCATGTCTCACCATTTTACCGAGCGGAAACAAGGAAATATCGAAGTAGGGTGGAGATCTATGACAGCATCAA